GTGGGCACGGAGGGGGGCGGGGGGGCATCTGCGAAGAGCTGGTGGGGCCGGTCGGCCTGGGAGAGGGGGTTCTGAGCCGCCAGCAGCCGCTCAGCCGCTGAGCCGTGCCGCTCGCCCTTGGAGTCCTTCTTGAAGGCGTAGGACACGGTGATGGGGCGGTTGCACAGGTACTGCCCGTTCATGGCCTCAATGGCTGCGTCCGACGCATCGAAGCTGGCAAAGTTGATGAAGGCGTAGCCCTTGGAGTTGCCCGTGTCGGGGTCTCGCATGATCTTGGGGGTCTGCAGGATTACCCCAAAGGCGCTGAAAGTGTCGTAGAGCAGCTTCTCATCGATCTCGGGGTCCAGGTTGCCAATGAAGATGTTGGCGCCCACATCCAGGTTCTTGTTGTGGGCCGAGGCTTTGTTCACCCGGATGGGTTTCCCATAGAGCTTGATCATGTTCATGATCTTGATGGCATAGTCAGCGTCCTCCTCACTCAGGAACTCCACAAAACCGTACCCTGCAGGACCCCAAAGGGGTTCAGGGGAGGGGCAAGAGACCTCAAAGGCATTTCATTGGGGACCCCAGGAGGACTTCAGGACAGGACGAGATACCCCACACCCCCTCACTTGATTTAAAACTCCAGTTCATTGAAAACCCCATTGAATTATTGATTGAAACCCCCTTTACTTCATTTACACATAATACTTGATTTAGTCCCCACTTAATTTAAACCCTGGGGCCCCCACGCCTCTTGAAGGACAGAGGATGATCCCCCTCTTCCACTCCCACCCCCAGCTCTGGCCCTCGTTGGGATGTGGGAGTTCCTCACCCTGGTGCTGGCCCGTGACCCGGTCCTTGGGCATGTGCGTGTTGACCACCGGCCCGGCCTGCAGAAAGAGCTCCCAGAGCAGGGGCTCGCTGACCTTCTCGTCCAGCCCCCCCACGTACACCGTGGCATCTGCGAGGAACCGAGGTCAGAGCCGAGACAGCCGCGAGGTAACGGGGGCTCGGGGCTGACATCGCTCGAGTCAAATCCCCCGAACCCGAAGCCCGCCCCCGGCAGTCCTTAATCCAGCAGGCGGCCCCCAAGACCCTTTTTCCTTCGGAAGACCAGAACCCAGCGAGGCCCCGAACTCAGCGTGGCCCCCATCCTTGTCGCCAGGGAGCCCAAAATTCCCTCCAGCTCCTTTCCGCGCCTCCAGGATACACCATAACCTCCCCACTCCCACCAGAACCACCC